TTTTTTTTTTTTTTTTTTTAAAGCTGAGCCCAGCCATGGGCTTGTACCTCACATACCTATGAGTTGAGAAAATTCCTCTCCTCTGAGGTCTCAAGATAACTTGGGATTCCTCGGTCTGTGAGAAAGTAACATTTTTTACTTACCACAGATCAGGAACCTTATATAGGGACTGTGTGGACAAGGTATGAGGCCAGATTTCCCAAGGGGCTCTTATTAGCTCTATGAGTCAACCTTGATTATTAAAGAAAATATACCATTCCAGTGAAAGTCTTGGTAAAATAACCAGTTTCTCCATTTGTGTCCTGTTACAAAAGAAAACAGATTCTAATTGCACTTATGCAAATAACTATACTGCCGTAAGTTGAGAATATTCACTAATAGTTTCCAAATTCTGGAGAAATTAGGTAGAGAAACAAATATGCTCCAAATTTTGTTTATAGGAGTATATTTTACTTAATTGTTAAAAGCTGTAAATAGCTCAAAAGTTTTCTTGGCTCTGGAAAACAAAAAGGATCAGCAATGTTTTATGCAAAAAAGTGAAAAAGAAAGATTACTTTAGTCTTCTAATAGTTCAGTTCCTTCAGTTAACTCTTGTTCTGCTTGATATTCATGAAAATTTCAGCTCTCTCTTGGAGTCTTGGAAGCTTTTCTCTTCATTCTAATGTCATAATTTCCAAAGTTATAAGAAACTTGCATTCAAGAGTACTTGTCAAAGTTTTATAACTAATTAGAAAACCACCGTTTAAACGGGATCAAAATAAGGTAACAATTGCCTATGGATGACAAAAAATTTTAGGGCAGCCATAGTTAAAGATACAATTGACAAGGAAATTTGTTACCTCTGTGGCACACAACAAGTTAACATAACAATTATAATTATTAATGATAACATACTAAGTCATATCAGAATTATAGGAGTTTCATATAATTTTGGAACATATACCAATAACACATTTATGCAAATATAGCCCAAAGAAAGCCAAGCACCATTTCAAATTTTACAGTGCTTTCTGTATGATTTTTGTACCAAATAAGCCAAACGCAGTATTTTTGGACTTCAGAGGACCTAATGTTTAAAGGATTAATTAGGTCAGAAAATGACATACTTTATAATTTGATTTTAGAAAGTTTGTCAAATATCAAAGGCTTAAAACAGTGGATATAACAAAATGAGATCACAGGTTATTCACTTATCCGAGGTGGTAACTTGAAAAACAAATGTTTTTAAGGCAAAACCCTTTACTCTGATAGAAGAGTCTTAGCTTTCCAAATAAAACCCAATGGAGATAGCCTGAGGCCAACTGAATCTGTATTTTGTCTCTCTTCCCCATTTTCTCCCTGCCATTTACCCAAAGGGGCACAAAAAAACCCCTTTTATTATCTTTTAATATTATATAAAAATCTTTTTCAAATGAGAAAACCAAATTTTATGTTTGTATTAGTGCATGTTTAATGTTAAAGCTAGTTTTAAAAATATTATATATCTATGTAGTTTTAATTAGTTTGACCATAAGGTAAGATTTTTATAAACTTTTTTAGAACCCTTTGCAATTTTCTCCATAGAGGTTTTTTTTCTAAAGAAAAATTCTTTTAAATCTCTTATTACCAGACTCTAGCCAGAATAGCCAATACTTCTTTTTGAATTCTACCACAAGTAACTTTCCACATGAAATTAATAAGTTTTAACTAAGGTTATAACTTAACCATGGATGCATAAAGTGTTTTAAAGAGATGGTAAGCATTTTTTTTAAAAAAAACAAGATTTATAATCTCCCCAAGGGTTGCTCAGAGAAAGGAAAATTCAAGGCAAGAAATCAGAAACTATCATTGGGAGGTGGGAGGAGGGAGTTTAATAAGTGGCAAAGTTACACAAATAATAAACCAGCAAGATACTATTCCAGAAACCAAGAATTGAAACCAGGCTGCCATTGTCAAAAGACAAAGTGTTAGGTACTGAGCTACCTGGCATTGAGCAGATTCTATTGCTCTTCCCAGAAGAAGTTTAGAGTAGACAATTTCAAGCTTGCAAAGGCTCTTAACTGCTCAATATAATTTTAGGGCTATGATATGAACCCCCAAATTTTTGTCTTCTGGATGGCAGAAACCAAGAGAAAGTATCCCCATGTGGTCACAAGTTTAAGCTCTCAAGGACACAAAACAAGACAGAGAAATTTCATCCAGTATTGGTTTGAGGGACTACAGCAAATTTTGTAACTGACCAGCCTGCTGGGCCAGCTTAAAAAGCAGCCTTATAGGGGTCCTAAACCCTTGTTGTATCCTGTGATACCCATGGCAGAATGACAGAGAAAGACAAATTCTTCGCACACAAGATTTGCTACAGCCTCAGACTAGTTTCACAAATCCTTTTTTTCTATCACTCAAACTCATGCACAGGAAACAAATAGTGATGTCTGCTATTTACATATACACATAGAGAAAGACAAGAGAGGGAAGGAGACCAGAAACTTGGCTGGTAAGAATTTCATATACTTTTTTTTTTGTTGTTGCTGGCATACTGGGTTTCCAGGTTCCCTTTCTCTGCAGCTTCTAGAAGAATGGAGCATCTTTTGATCACCCTGCCCACTATTCCATAGCTGTGGGGTTCAAGCCACTTTACAAAAGCCACTTTTTCTGTTTTAGGGAACCAGAGGCAAAAGATTCTCAATTTTGCAAGATGTTTCCCAGTGGGCTACATGGTGAACCAAATTAACATTTTCCATTCTAGCAAAATACACATAACAAAGCAGAAACCAGTCACCTCATTCAGCACCCAGTATCAACCTGGTAAAACTGAAACTTTCTCTTGTTGGTCCACTTTGTTGTCTTTGATCCACTCCAGGTGGGGAAGGATGACCTCTGAATGGTTCACAATGGGTGGGCTCCGGGCAAGGTGAAGAGCAGATAGTCACCCTGAGACAGGTCTGTTTAGTTTTCTTTTGGGCTCATGGAATGTGACCAGACAAGGAAGCTTCCCTGAGTTAAAACTGCAGGACTTCCATAGACAATTCCTTCTGAGATCCCCTCCACATACACAAATACACACCAAGACAAGATTAACAGAAAGCCTTCCAAATCAGATTCCTAACCAAGAACTCCAAGAGTATCCCTTCCAAACTATCCTCCTATTCTCAGTCTGATAAATTTCCCTGAAATCTTTCCGATTTATGAGAAGTCTCCTGAACCAGGACTTCCTACTAGTTAGGGAGAGCCAACCACGACCCTCCAGGAGTTGAACTGAGACAGACACCCCACAGTGGGGCTATAGACAAACTAAGACCCTCAAAGGAGCTGAACTGAGATAGACACCTTGTGGGGGAGCTACAAACAGACACCCCGCAATGGGGCTGTGGACCAACACCCTATCATGGGGCTACAGAACCAGTTGGGAGAATGGAGGAGGCATTGGCAGCACCTAGGATACTCACAAAATCGACACCTTGTAATGGGATTATAACTACAGACACTCTGCCATGGAGCTACAGATACCCTGTGAGGGGGCAACAGTTACAGGATGTCTCTCCAGGACTATTTCTCCATTACAATTAAATCTATGCACATTGGGTGGGCAGTACCCTGCTAAGAGTACTAGAGTCAGCCCCCAGTCCAAGAGAACTAGGCAGCCACTTGGGCTGGCCTCTGGATCCATTGCTAGAGTAAGGGTACTGAACCATGGGCTGGTAGTCACAAGGACATTCCTGGATGAGCTCCCAAATTCGTAATCACCCAGTGGTTTCACCTTGCTACTGCATAGGCAGAACCAATTTATCAAAATCGGAATTACAATAGGGAAAGAGTAATTCTCCTTCTGTGCAGGAGACTGGAGTTTTATTATTACTCAAATCAGTCTCCAAAGAAGTTTGACTAATGAGGTCTGGTGGTGTGTGCTAAAACCAAGAGAGCACGCAAAGGCATTTATAAGGTTCTGTCCTCATTATCTTTATCAGTAGATAAATTTTTGTAAGTCTGCCTTTCAATCATTTACAAAGTGGTAGGCTGGATGCAGTGGCTCACGCCTATATTCCCAGTACTTTGGGAGGCTGAGCCGGGTGGATCACTTAAGGTCAGGAGTTCAAGAACGGCCTGGCCAACATGGTAAAACCTCATTCTACTAAAAAGACAAAAATTAGCCAGGCATGGTGGTGTGGGCCTGTAGTCCCAGCTACTCAGGAGGCTGAGGCAGAAGACTTGCTTGAACCTGGGAAGCAGAGGTTGACGTTGCACCACTGTACTCCAGCGAAAGAAAGAAAGAAGAAAGAAAGAAAGAAAAATACAAGAGAGAACATAATTAACTTACTTTTCTGTTATTTGTTGAGAAAAAATGGGGTAGAGATGTCAATTTTACAGAAATTTGTAAGTTTTAGCACATATTCATTTGTTTCAATATCTTTAGGATATGGGAAGTTGGGCTTGTTTAATATCTCATATTAAATTTTCTGTTTAACCCTCTCTCTTTCTCCTCTCCTTCTCTTCCCCCTGCTTGAAGCTATTATCTCTTAGTAAATTGGGTGTATGCCTAAGGCCACAGTCAAAAAATCTAGAAAAACTAGGATTATAACCATAATCTCTTAGCTCACAGAGCTTGCAATTTTCATTATATCAGTTTCTTAGTAAAATTTGTTCCATGAACTTTAAAAAAATCATAATAAAGCAGTCTAATGTAATGGATAAATCTGTCCACTTTGGAATCAGGTTTAAATCTCAGTTCTGCAACTTGCTAGCTTTGTTTGGGTCAAGCAGTGTATCTCTCCAAGCCTCAGTTCACTCGTATGTAATATATGACTTATTAATATCATATATTATGTAATGTCATATATGTTACATAATATATGACAATATGTAATATGTGACCTTAATATTTACTTCAAAGGATTAGATGAGATGAGTAAATTGCCTGATGTGTTTGTGGGTGTGTGTATATAGATATAGCATGTATGGCATATAGTAATTTAATATTTCTATTATTCCTATAACAATATCTTTTTTATTTTTTTGTTTTGTAGATGCAGCCATCATGGTGTCTTGCTGTGCTATTTCTTGGTCAACAGTTGATTATCAAGTAGCTTTAAGAAAATCCTTGCCTGACAAAAAGCTTCTTAATGGGTTATGTCCCAAAGTCACATATCTCTTTTACAAGTTGTTTACATTATTATCGTGGATGCTGAGTGTTGTACATCTACTATTCCTAAATGTTAAGATTGCTTTATTTCTGTTGTTGTTTCTTTGGTTGTTAGGTATAATATGGGCATTTAAAAAGAACACCCAATTTTGTACTTCTGTAGGTATGGAATTCTTATATAGGATTGTTGTTGGATTCATTCTTATCTTTACATTTTTTAATATTAAGGGACAGAATACCAAGTGTCCAATGTCTTGTTATTATATTGTGAGGGTACTGGGCACTTTGGGGATATTGATTGTGCTCTGGGTTTGCCCCCTCTCTATTTTTAATCCAGGCTATTTTATACCTATCAGTATCACTATAGTTCTTACTCTTCTTCTTGGAATTCTTTTTCTTACTGTTTATTATGGAACTTTTCACCCAAACAGAAGGGAAGAAACAAGACGTGATGAAATTGATGGAAAACCAATTCTACGAGAATGTAGAATAAGGTATTTCCTAATGGAATAAGCTATTCATTTATGATATATGTTTTCTTATTTTTTGTTTCATTAGTTAGTAAAGAAACTGTGTGTTAAGTGGGTGTATTGTCTCTTATTTTTGCTATCTTTAATTTGAAGTTAGTTCTGGTACACTAATTGTGAATAGGAGATATATAATAATATTTTATTATTTAAATTAATTTCTCATTTGGTTTTGAAGATCTTGGGCACTCATATATCTTTCTACTGCCTGGTAGAGCTGCCATCTTGAGCCTGAAATACAAGAAATAGTCTGGTTTTCACAACTAGGAGGCTGGAATTGAGCTTCCCTCCAATTTTCCTTCGTTGTTCCTGAACCAATGCTACTGTATCTGTTGCGGAGAACTGCAAAGGGAAGAAAAAAGCAGAATACTTATTTATTTTTTGTTTATTGTCTTGATTCAGTGCATATATGTGAAGTTGGGGACAGGTTGAGTACAGGAAAATGGAAGGAAGGGAAAGGAGAAGGCAAATATTTAGCATTTACTGTGCCACAAATTTTTAGTATCTACTGTGCTTTTATCTATGAAATCTCCAATTCAGTAAGTACAAAAGAGAATTGTTGTGCATTTGCGATGTTTGACATTTCATTATTTACTTATTTTCTAGCTTTTCTAAATTAATGCACTCAACATATAATTTATATTCTATTTGTGCTAAAATAGTTGTATCTAAATAATACTTTTGAATTATTTTTATTTAAAAAATTATGGTAAAAATATATAAAATTTACCATCTTAACCACTTTTAAGTGTACAGTTCAGCAGTGTTAACTGTATTCACCTTGTGCAACAGATCTCAAGAACTTTTCATCTTGCAAAACTAAGACTATTTACTGGGCAACTCCCCATTTCCTTTTTCCTTAAGTCCCTGGCAACCAGCTACTTTAGATACCTTATTGCTTTGGTTTGCATGTGTCCCCAGATTTCATATATTTGAAACTTCATCTCCAGATTTGTATGTTGATGACATTTGGGGTTGGTGGGGACTTTGGGTGGTATTTAAGATTAGGTAAAGTTGTCAGGATGTGGTCCTCATGGTAGGACTTGTTGATTTTATAAGAAGAGGAAGAGAAACCTGAGCTAGCACACTCCTGCTGTCACTATTTGATGCCTTCTGCCATGTTATGATACAGCAAAACGGCCCTCACCAGATGCCAATGCCATGCTCTTGGCCTTCCCAGGCTCTAAAACCGTGAGTGAAATAAACTTTTCTTTATATTTTATTACCCAGTCCCTGGTATTCTGTTATATCAGTAGAAAGACTAAGATACATAAAAGTGTAATCATATTGTATTTGTCTTTTGTTACTGGCTTATTTCATTGAGCATAATGTCTTCAAGCTTCATACTTTAGCATGTGACAAGATTTACTTTTTTTCTTAAAGGCTGAATAGTATTCCATTGTATGTATATGCCACATTTTCTTTATTCATAAATCAATGAATGGATTGATGAGTGGATATTTGGGTTGCTTTCATTTCTTGGTTATTGTGAATAGTGCAGTAGTGAACATGGGTTTACAAATATTTCTTTGAGATTCTGCTTTCAGTTCCTTTGGATATATACTAAGAAGTGGGATTGCTTGATCATATGGTAATTCTGTTTTAAATCCTATTCAGAAGTAGGATTGCTTGATCATATGGTAATTGTTTTGAAGAACCTTCATACTGCTTCCATAATGGCTGCATTATTTTACAATCTCACCGACAGTGCAATTTCTCTATATGCTCACCAACACATGTTATATTCTGTTTTTTTTTTCTTTTGATAATGGTTACCCTAATGAATGTGAGGTGATATCTCTTTGTAGTTTTGATTTGCGTGTCTTTAATGATTGGTGATGTTAAGCATCTTTTTATGTGCTTATTGGCCATTTATATATCTTCTTCGGAGAATAGTCTATATCTAGTTAGTGGTTAATATCCAGAGTATATAAATAAACTCTATAACTGAGCAACAAGTAAGAAGCCTAGATAGCCTGATTAAAAATGGGCAAAAACTCATAGTAATATGTCCTCTATGCTACTTTTTGAGAAAGTTAAGTAGTGTGAACCATTTACTCTTGCAGGAGCTGGGAAATCTTCAGTTTACCTTAGGCACATGATCCTTGTATATATGAACCACAGTTATTACATAGTTCCCTGTTTCAGCCTGTTTGGTGTACATGTTTGCATGTATGTTTGTGAGGGTGAAGCTGAGAAAAGAAATTAAGCTGCTTGGCAGCACCTGAGTCAAAATCTTTGAGTAATAAAGGCCCAAAAGACTTTGAATCATAAAGTGAAAGTATTCTTCGTTTGTTTCTAAAGATTTGAATGTCTATGTGTTATTTCCCTTCAGCCTAGATAATTTATCATAGCTTTTTCTGTAGTTTAGATTTGTTAGTGATGAATTCTTTTTATTTCTTTAAATCTGAACATATCTTTATTTATCTTTCATTCTTATGGGATATAGAGTTCTGAGTTGACAGGTTTTTCCTTTCCTGTAAGCTTTTTAAAGACATGACTTCACTATTGTCTCGTCTCCATTGTTTCTGATAAAAAGTTAGTGATCATTTACATCATTATCCCCCTGTGTGTAATTTGTTGTTTTTCTCTAGCTATTCTTGAGATTTTTACTTTAACTGTTGGTTTGCAGTTGTATGACTACTGTGTTCATGGGTATAGTTTTTTTTTTTCTTTTTTGTATTTCTCCTACATAGGGTTCTCCAAGTTTCTTGAACCTATAAATTTTTGTCTTCTATTATATTTAAGAAGTTTCTGGCCATTATTAGTCTCATATTTTTTCTGCCCCTTTATCTTCTTGGACTCCACTTCCACATGTGTTAGACCTATTGATATTCTCCCACACATTCCTGAGGCTCCGTTCATTTTTTTCCTGTTTATTTCTCTGTTCTTTAGATTGTATTTGTCTTCAAGTTTATTGACTTTCCCCCATCTTCAGTCTGCTGTTAAGTTCATATAATGAGTTTTTAACATTTTCCAAATATTGTATTTTTATGTTCTTAAAGTTTCCTTGAGTTCTTTATATAGTTTCTATTTCTTTGCTAAAATTTTATATATTTTTATCATAAGCATATTTTTTTAATATCCTTGATCATATTTAAAATAGCTGCTTAAAAACCTGTCTACTAATTCTAATTCCTGGGCCATTTTGAGATTGGTTTTGACTGATGGCCTTTTCTCTTGAGTATGTATTACATTTTCATGTTTGCTCATATGGCTACTAATTTAAAATTGTGTTCTGGATGGTAAGAATGATACAGTTTAGACCCTCTTGATTCTTTTCATTCTTCAGAGGAACTTTTTTTCTTTTCAGCAGGCAGTAACTTGAACTTTAAACTCTAAACTCTAAATAATCTTTATTTGTTTAGCCTTCAGTGGGCTGCTTAGAGTCTTCCCCTTATATGCATAGTTCAAGGTCAGCCTAAAATTTGGGCAGAATTAATATGTGAAGTGAGACTTCCTTTTCTGTTGGTTCTGCTTTTCTCCTAGATTTTCCACCTCATTTTTTAGCAGTTGTTGTCACCACATACACTGTTTTCTAGGCCTTAAAACCACTAAGACTGTAGATTTTTAAATTTTAATTTTGTGTAATTGATATGCTGAGTGGGGTCTGTCCTCATTCAGTGCCATTTCATCTTCCAGATGTTGACCTCTTTCCAGTGTCTGCTTGTTTTTTTCTGCTGTTAAGTGCTTTCAGGTAGTTGTCAATATGTTGACTAGAGTTCATAGTGGTTACTTGTGAGAGGATTTGTAGATTAAGAGATATACTCACCTTTTTTTTTTAATCTATGACATTTTCAGTAATCTTTCTGTAATGCTTATCAATATTTCTGTGAGCACTTTGGTAGGCTGAGGCAGGTGGATCACCTGAGGGCAGGAGTTTGAGACCACCCTGGCCAACACGGTGAAACCCTGTCTTTGCTAAAAATACAAAAATTAGCCAGGTGTGCTGGTGGGCGCCTATAATCCCAGCTACTCCAGAGTCTGAGGAAGCAGAATCACTCAAACCCAGGAGGTGGAGGCTGCAGTGAGCAGAGATCATGCCACTGCACTGCAGCCTGGCTGACAGAGACTTTGTCTCAAAAAAAAAAAAAAAAAAAAAAAAAAGGACTTCCTGTAATATTTACTTAGACAAGGTGTGTAAAGCTTTTTAAAAATTTAATATGTAGTCCTCTCTCTTCCCTACTTATGACCCTGATAAAAACTGCAATATAGATATTATTATCATCACTACCCTTTAACTGGGAGAACCAACATTCATAATGCTGAAGTAATTTGCCAAAGTTCACACAGATCAAATCTTAGGCTTTTTTGCCTCAAGGCTGGTTTATTTTTTGTGAAACCATGGGTCTTTATCTGATGAATAGGTTACCAAGAGCTATGCTAAGTTATGCATGATTTAAAAATTATTGTTTTGAGACAGAGTCTTGCTCTGTCACTCAGGCTGGAGTGCAGTGGTGTGATCATGGCTCACCATAACCTCCAACTCCTGGGTTCAAGTGATTCTTGTGCCTCAGCCACCCAAGTAGTTGGGACTACAGCTGTGCACTACCATCCCTGGCTAATTTTTGTATTTTTAGTAGAGATTGGGTTTTGCCATGTTGGCCAGGCTGGTCTTGAACTCTTGGCCTCAAGTGATCCACCTGCCTCAGCTTCCCAAAGTGCTAGGATTTCTGGCATGAGTTATCATGCCAGGCCTAAATTATTTATTTGCCTATGATACAATTTTTTAAAAACTCTAGCCTAAATATTTTTCAGCTTTAGCTCAAGGTAGGGCTGGAATTGTGTCACTGTTAGCTTGAACAATTCAATTAACAATATATGTAATGGGAAAAAGGGTAGGAGATAATATATTATACATCTACTAAAGAGCTTGAATGCTAAGTGTTTCACACAAACATAGATTAAGTATTCATGCCATCCAAAAAACATTTTCTTATTGGTTTTATAGCCAAGAAATAAATGAGAAGATCCTGGTCAGATGTTTTGGCTAATCAGTAAGCTTTTAAAATGAACTTTTAATCATAGAATGAACTTGATTTTATCCTCTTATG